CTCCCCATGCCTCGTCAACAGTATCAGTCCTTATCACCTTAAGAAAAGCAGTTTCCTTCTTGGCACAATGCTTGCAATCTTCCACGCATGGGCGTCTCGATAATGCATCTGCGTTGCCATGAATTCTTCCGCCGCGATGTTCGATTTCAAAGTCAAATTCCTGAAGTTGTTCCAACCATCTGGCTACTTGGCCTTCGGGACCCTTAAACTGAAGCAGCCATTTCAAAGCAGCGTGATCAGTTCTGATCAAAAATTTCCATCCCAGTAAATACTTCTTGAAATGGTGCAGAGTTTTGACTACGGCCAGCAATTCCCTCCTGGTCACGCAATAATTCTTCTCCGGCTTGGATAGTGACTTGCTGAAGTAAGCAATAACCTTCTCCTGCTCACCATCGCGTTGTGAAAGGACACCTCCTATTCCAATATTGCTGGCATCCGTATCAACTACGAATATTCCTTTCGCGCTGGGGTATCCGAGAATTGGTGTGTTACAAAGCCGTTCTTTTAGTTCTCGAAAGGCTTGCTCACAATCCTCGTCCCAGATAAAGGCACGTTTCTCCTCTGTCAATCGATGCAAAGGCTTGGCAATGTCCGAGAATCCTTTCACAAACCGCCGATAATACGAGCACAATCCAAGAAATGCCCGAACTTGCGTTTTGTCTTTAGGTGTCGGCCATTCCTTAACAGCGGCAGTCTTGGCTGGATCAGTCTCAATTCCTCTCTCAGAAATAACATGTCCTAGATAATTCACTTCGCGCTTGAAGAAAGAGCATTTCTTTGGACTCAACTTTAAATTTGCTCCACGCAGCTTATCGAGTACCTTTTCCAATTTCCTTAGATGATCGTCAAAATCCCGTCCAACAATGATGATGTCATCGAGGTAAACTAGGCAGGTTTCGCCCAGCAGTCCCGCCAGCACCTGTTCCATCAAACGCTCAAAGGTTGCCGGTGCATTGCATAATCCAAATGGCATCACCTTAAATTGCCAGAGTCCCTTCCCAGTTGAGAATGCGGTCTTTTCCTTATCCTTGGGATCCAAATCCACCTGCCAATAGCCGCTTTTCAGATCGAGCGTTGAAAACCATTTCATGCCACTCAGTGTGTCAAGTTTGTCATCGATTCTTGGTAACGGGTAGCTATCCTTCTTGGTTACATCATTCAATCGTCGATAGTCTACGCAAAACCTCGTTGAACCATCTTTCTTCTTGACAAGCACGACAGGTGAACACCAAGGGCTAGAAGAGGGCTCTATCACGTCATTTTTCCTCATATCGTCAATCATTTCTTCAACCTCTTTCTCACGAGCGAATGGTATGCGTCTGGGCCTTTGACGAATTGGCATTGTATCACCTGTGTTTATTTTATGCTTCACCAAACCAGTTCGGCCAATATCACCATCGCTTCTTGAAAACACATCAGAGAATCGAAGAAGTAAATTTCTAGCTTTCATAGTCTCCACTTTTGTCAGACTTTTGTTTTCGTCTAAGATTTTCGTTACAAAGTCTATTCCCGTACTGTCCTTCTTCACAAGATTCTCCGAGCATTTTCTTATCCAGGCCACTTCTTCCAATACGCCCACAGGCTCTCCTTCTTCAATCGTAATTTTTGAATCACTGAAGTTGAATACCGGAATGCGGTTGACATCAGATGACCCCACGACAGTTCTCGCCGGTAGCCATGAGTTTACGTGTTCCGATTTATCAATCACAGCGCACCTTAGAGGTAAACTTCCTTCCCTCCTCCTAGGTAATGCGATTGGTACGAGAGTCTGTGATTTTGGTTCAAGAACAGTTCTTCTTAAACAGCAAACTTTTCCCAGGGTTCCACCCTTCATCGGAATTTCCTCAGTTCCACATAGTAAAACTCCAGATTTTAGGTCGATGTTACACTGGTGCCCTTGCAGGAAGTCAAGTCCCAGGATGCAGTCATCCAGAATTTTGGCCACAATAACCTCATGTCGATAAACACGTTCCCCAATTTTGATTGTTACATGCAGTTTTCCACTTATCGGTATGCACTGGCCGGTAGCTGATTTCATTTGTAGGCCAACAATTGGTTTAAGGTGTTTCCTGATGTTTTGCTCGAGCAGCCGAACATTCATCACCGTCCTTGAAGCTCCAGTATCTAATGTTAGCTGACTGTTTTTCCCATTTACTTGACCGTCTATCACCAGAGTATTTCCATCGTTGGTTTGCTTGATGTAGATTGTTGGGGTTGTTCCATTACCAGCCAACGCCCACCCCGCAGCCCTGGCTGGATTTAAGTTTCCCTGCTGGACAGAAGTTGAGACCGCCGCGTCCTGGCGGTTCATCTTCTTCGAGCAGTCGCTCCGTATGTGCCCACGCTCTCCACATCCATAGCACATGAAATTCCGACGGCGTGGAGGTACCTGCTCCGTTGTCGTCATTTCCCGCAGACGTAAGGTACGGGAGTTGCCACGCACGGCTTCCACTTCCAATGCATGGGCCAGAGCTTCTTTCATGTTCTTGTGATGGCCCAGATGAACAGCAGCTCGTACTTCGGGGTCCCGAATACCGTCAATGAACGCTTGGAGAAGCGTGCCTTCAATCATTGACGGAGTCGACCGGAAAGCTCGACGCACAAGTTTTTCGATTTCCACGGACCATTGCTGTAGACTCTCATTAGCACGCTGAGTACGCTCTTTTAATTGCGCTCTGTACACGTGCTCGAGGTGGCTGTCTCCAAAACGTGCCTCAAGTGCGTCGAGGAGGGCACTAAAGCTGAGATCCCCACTTGCGCCGATAGCTTCCAGCACTGAGAGCGCTTGATCACGGAGGGCCAGGGTGAGGGCTGACTGTGCTTCCTTCTGAGTCCAACCATAAGCCTCCATAAGTGTCTCAAACTGTAGCTTGAACGCGGTCCAGGATGTTGTTCCGTCGTAATGGGGAATCTTGAGCCCTTTCGTTGCGCTTGAGGCCACATTTGGGGTGTCAAAAACGGCTGCAAGACGGCTTCGGCTCTTCAAAGGGCTTGGGCTTGCCACTTCCTGCTTGATTTTGGAGATCTCTTCTTCCACTCTCTCCTCTATCGCCATGACGCGATGTTCCAACTTGCCTAACCCTTCCTCTACTTCTTGTACCCGTTCGACAGCCTTTTGCAGTCCCTTCGTGAAATCCTTATGCATCTCTTTCAGCTCCCGTAGCTGCTCCGCCTGACAGTGTGCTTGCTCCCGTAGCTGTTCTGCCTGACAGCGTGCTTGCTCCTCTTGGCGGCGCGCTTGCTCTTCTTGGCGGCGCGCTTGCTCTTCTTTCAGCTCCCGCAGCTGTTCTGCCTGACAGCGCGCTTGCTCTTCTTGGCGGCGCGCTTGCTCTTCTTGGCGGCGCGCTTGCTCTGCCATCATTTGCTGCAGCTGTAGCAGAAGATCCACCTGCACAGGCTTGGCTTCTGCATCGCTGGTTTGAGCTGCAGCACCCTCTTCCCTCACACGCTGCGCTTCTGACATTGAACGGGTACTCACTCCTCTTACGTCCTGCGGCACTAGCGGCATTTTTCTCCAATCCCACTTCTGACACCAAATGTTACGTGCCTGACGTCACGTTCCTAACTATGCGGGCTTGGGTTACGGGATTGGATGAAATTAAACACTAATACCGGTTTTCAGACTTTCTATTGCACTTAAGTGACAGCGTCCACGGATACGGATAAGTTATCGGCGTTCCTCTCCAGCAGAGTCCGGCCGACTGACACAACTTTGCCGTTCACTGTTCACGCTGACTTAACTCACTTAACTGACTGCACTTCACTATTTCACTGTACTTCACTATTTCACTCACTTTTCTTCTTTTCACTTCTTCCTTTTCTTCCGAATCGCTTTGGACTTAGAACTCAACTGCCAGCGGTGAGCCGCAGTTCCGCTTATATACCCCTGGTCAGGTTCTAGAACATTCAATTTCGTTATTCTTTTTGATCGTCATGCCTCCAGAACCTTCCAATAATTTCGTTATTCATTTTTATTTATTCTCCTTCTCGCTCCTTAATTTTTCATTACTTTCACTCAAATATTCCAGAAAGTTCGACAAAACTTCCATCAACTAAAAAACTTCATGTTTACGGCGGGACTCGAACTCGGGGTCTCTGTGGTGTAATCCACACGCCTTACCGATTACACCAACTCGTGTTGACAATTCACGACGAAATTTACAATCTCTAGGCAACGTTTGACAACCATCCATTGACGTCATGATGTCAAAGAGTTTTCTGTCACAATATGAATATGGAATTTCATAATCTCCTGCCGTGTCCGGCGCAACAATATTTTGTGATATTTTAGTGGGTCTTGATGGTCATTAAACATTATTTATAACTGTCCAATGCGAATTGTACTCGAATTATAAGAAGCTATATTTATGTAGGTGTATATACAGTCCACACTGCGTAACTTTTTTTTTAGTTGAAATATAAGAGGTAAAACTGAGTCGTATTAGTTTAAAACTTTAAATCATATCCTACAAGCGCAAAAAACAACTTTATCCGCTTAAACTTAGTTTTTTTTTCAATGTCCCCTTTTGAAATATCCATCCATTTTGTTGTTTCTAAAGCAATTACGGTAATAGACATCTAAACAATTTCCTAATATCTATCAACTCTTTTTGTACCTGGTCACCCTTAGAATCCAATTCATAACAAGCACCTACTGGCAACACTAGAATTGGCCCACCGGTAACGTCCCTCACTTGGCAAAACAACGGAAGTGTTGCCACAAGCTAGTTTTCTGTGAGGCCGTGGTATCACTCGGGCCGAGCCGGCCCATTCGTGCCGTAGCACGGCTCTCCCCGCTCCCGCTTCTTCAGTCAGAGCTTATGCTCTCTCTCCAAAATAAAGACTAAAGATTAAATATAGATTAAACTTGATTTTGAAGACATACATTTACCCATAAACGTAAATAAATATTGAGACTGAAATTTTTATTACCCATTTTTGACACAATTACACATGTATAAGGACGTATCACATTAGCACAAAACAACACAGTAAATAAATTAACTTTCAAGTACCATCTTCTTCCACTGCTCGCCGCAACCGCAATGAATGCCCGTCTTACGTGTCCGCAGCCACGCCGTAGCCTTCGGTGTCCCCTTTAATTTATTGTCACTGATCGCTGCTCTGTTTGTTCTCCGTTCAGTTTTGGGACTAACTGACTTTGGTTCCATGAGAGCACTTCTAGCCTCGTAAGTCTGGTGATGAGCATGAACGTTCGACAGGTCGGAGTACAACCGCTCTGACGAACGGAGTACTCTGGCGTCCTGGAACATCAGCCTCTCGTCCCAGTACCTCCGGTACTCCTGTTCCATGTAGGGCGACCTCCTCTTCTCGGGACTTCTGTCTTTATAAAATGCTTGTTTGTAAGATATCTTGGAATGGGTCTTACGCTTTGGTAGGTATTGCAGCCGACTTCGGTTTTTAACACTTTTCTCAATTTTTTGACTATATACTGTCTGGTAGTCGTCAGAGTCACTGGTACATTCTTCTTCGCTCTCACTTAATTCACTACTCTGCTTCGGCTTCTCTTTCACCTTGAAGAGCTTTACAGATTTTAACATCTTGCTAAATAAACCTTGCTTTCCCTTTTTCTGCAATTGAAGCAAAATGAGTTATATAATAAATTTGAATCATATCAAATTTATGTTTTTAGTTATGTGTGAATGCTAACTTGTTTAGGTTCCAGAGCGTTTAGAGTAGTCGTCGACTCCATGTCATAGTCTGTGCTTGATGTCTGAGTCTCGATTATAGTATCGCTGTTCTGCACCAAAGTTTCTCGAATAACTTTTCTATGTGTATCATTAGGAATCCCAGAAAGTGTACTGTTAGTGCGTATGTTCCTGTCAAAACTATCATCTTGAATCCTATCCTCGGTATCAGAAGTTGTCACCACTTGAGATTGTGTGGTCACTTCATTAGACAGTACTTTACTTTCGACCGTTATATTGAGGGTGTCTGATGTCTCCACCATATCTTTTTTCATAAATAATTCAGACACCGCCTGCACTGCATTCTTTATTCGTTTAGTTTGCTTTTTTGGTTCTGTTTTCACTATGACTGGTGTAGTAAGACTGTGTGCTGGTTTAATTATTTCATCGTATTCGCTGAGTGAGGAATCTTTATTCGGGAAGTCCATAGTTAAGGCCATGGATTTATATATTTCTTTTATTAGTTTTTCTGTTTCCTTGGTATGCTCCTCTTTAACCTCTTCGGTATTTGTGGCAATCGTTGCTGCGTGCTTCATATAACCAGATTTAACGTGAGAGCTATTACGGTAGCAGCTGGCACACATAGGCCTCGCTCCTGGTGTTTGAATAAAGAGTGGGAAGTTGTGGAAACATTTCATTCCCTCGTGCGGGTAATAGAACTGGTTCGGGAGGACTCCCGCCAGTTGGCTGGGGTTGAAATGTCGCGAGCATGTCGTCATATAGGCAGACGGGTTCATAGTGTTGTATGGACTATAAGTGACACTATTCATCAAACTAGATCCTATCATGTTATGCGAGTGGCCTTTTTGGACGACTGCGTCTTTCTTTTGTTTATCTCTAATCACTTGATTTTTCGTCTGGGTCACTTTAACTTCTGCCAGTACTGATTGAAGTATAACTTTGATCTGATTTAATGTTTGTTCAGTTTTAGCATCAATTGAATTAGTTTCAGTAATGTTGATGGCCGTCTGGCATTCAGTGTCGTTAAAACTATTAGTTATTATGTTGGTAGTTAAACATTCGGCGTTCTTTTTACTTGGTAAAAGGGTTTGACGAACTTCTTGTTTCTTGGGTTTCTTAGAAGTTTTTCTGGAATAAATATTTCCAAAATCTATAGAGCAACTTTTTGTCGTCTCAATAGTGGGCGGCCGCTCTTTTTTGTAAATTTCCTTCCTACGTTTTATTACTTTTCTCAATATTGGTTCTAAACGACTGATATTTGAGGGTATTTTTTTCCCATGAGTATCGAATTTATCTTTCACACCATAATCGGCTGGGTAAGGTGGCATATAATAATTGCTAACTGGAATAGGATACAATGGGGGATGGTGGTTCTTAAAGCGACTACTTTCCGGCCAGCGTTTTGTATCGAAAAATGGTTTCTGCTCTTTTCTCCGTGCCGTCTCTGCATTCAAATTTACTGGCTTTTCTTTCACCGGTATAATGTCGTATTGATTGGTATCATAATACGTATTACCGAGGTGGATCTCATTAAGCATGTAAGTCTGAGGATTAATCAGTCTATTCATGTGATTGTCAATATTGTGGAAAGGGCCATAACAACATGAGCATATGTCAGACTCACATCGACATGCGCCGTCGAAATGCGGCTGGACATCTCTGCAGACAGGTGACGACAGCTCACTTAAGGTAGATAACTTATTTCCTATAATTTTAGGCTTATATTGCTTGTTGATCATCTGAGCCAAGTATGAACGAGTCATAACGTCGCTTTCGCACTTTAGCGGATCTTCCGTTTGGTCTGACTTAGTGAACGGGCAACTGTTGTTCGTTTGTGCGTAGTACACAAATGGCGAAGCTCCCTTTTTAGATTTGTTCGTCTTTTTTTTCTTTTTAAAGAAGAATCTTCGGTGACAGCTTTGTTTTTCTTCAACCATCTTGGGAGCAGATTCGTAACTTTCGAAGTTCGCATTTATTGCCTCTTCAACACCTTGAGATAATTCAGAGTTGCCAAAGAAAAATGCCTGGGAGCATGCATTAGGGTCTTCATTCGGAAAAACGAAAGAAACGTTTGACTTTCCTCTGTTGTGCAAACCTGTTGGGCTTGTACTCTGGTCGCAATCTAGCGATTTGCAGGATACCGCTGCAGTTGATACTTCAGGAAACTTAGAATCTACAATCGCTGTGTTTACAGTGGTCCTCTTACTCGAGCTCAGTTTGTTACATTTCAGAGATTTGCTGGCTTTACATGCAACCGATTCTGATGCTTGCGGACTGTGCATGCCATCCAGTTGTTTCTCTAAATTTAGTATTTTTTGTTGCAAGTCTGTGACGTCTATTGGTATACAGGAAATAATTTTAACCTCAGTTTGTGATGGTGTATTGCCTAAAACAAAGAAATAATTATTCAATAAAATAATTGTCGACATACACACAGTTCATCAAGGAACAATAGTGTAGGGTGTTCTAGAACGACATTCATTTTTAACTATTAAAAGAAGTATAATTTCTCATTTCATTAGTGCTAGTATTATGGATTCCTTATTGAAATAAAATACTAACAGACTTTTGCAGAATCCATTTTAAGCTTTTTCCTCCTCAAGCTGTAGTTCGATTGTACGTTGTCTGTCAGACGCTGGATTACTAGTATCGATTAGTTTTGTTTGTGTGCAAAGTAATATTTATCGTTTATTAAAAAACAATTGTGATACCTAAGTTAAATGCAATTCTTCGTAAAAAGTTCTCGACACCCTTAAACCTTTGCCTGCATAACACAGGTCCACCGCCAGGTAATTGTGTTTTACTCATGATGCCAGCCACCTGCAATTTGTTGGTTTCCTTAGAAAAATATTAACTGTACTTGTCGAACCGAACAAGATATGTATATCTATTAATGCACATTTTGCATTTATTATTTTAATAGCAAATAGATTAATCGGTAGAAGACCAACTTCAAATTTCTGATGGGTTTCGTTTAGGGGCTGGGAGCCTGGGAGTCTAAGGGCAATAATGTACTGCTCCCGGCTCGGATCAGGAAATGGACCAGGGTGGTCTTTGGTCAGTAAGATTTGACGACTTCACCATTCATAAAAAGTCCAGTTCCTGACATCTACTGCCTGAAATATTTCCACCTGCAATTGCATAAGATTTCATACTCATAACCACTGAGATCTCATGAATTAGATACTAGCTCGAATTTCAACTTACGTTAAAAAAAAATGCAGTGTCCACCTGTTACTTGACCAGCGTTGCACTTTCCGTTCTTTTGTCAACAAGTAATTTCATTTTGTTAATTCCAGGATTAACTGAACAAACTTAAAACTACGTTTTACTAATCATTTGTCCCGTTCGCTCACATTTGGGCCTGATGACGTTTGTGACTTCTATCAACATGGTTTCGCATTCCATCTGTCTGATGTTTGAATTCTAGCCATGTCAAGCTACAGTTTTCCAGACAGTTTGTACTATTGTTTGAGGTTTGGAGTTAAAGTTTTACTTTTAGGAGGCCTTTAATGGCAATAATATATCATGAGCCCATTGTTTCCAGTGTGCTACGGCAAGTACTTACAAATGTGGCAAAATTTAAAGTTATGGGCAGTTTTAGTGGGGATATTAAGAATTCAAGAAATTAGATATAGGGCCTATTTAAGTTGCAGACTTGTGCTGATGCCAGCTAGGGCTGCGGGTGCTAACGCAATAATGGTCCGCGACCCGGCACGGAGCACGAGAAGGAACGGAGTGATTTTTAATCAGTAAGAGTCTCTCTCCCTCTCGCCAACACTGATATACTAATGTCGGCGTATGGATTACGGTGCTGGGTGCTAATACAGCGCAGGGAAGAAGAAGTCCTTTGATGTTTATCGTAAGCACGGAGTAAGTACTCCGTGGTTTAAAGTAATAAATTCCCAGCCCCAAAGGGGCGGCAACGCAGTTGTTACTCTTTCAAATTCAAAATTCAAATTCTTTATTTGCATGTGAAGATGGTCTTTGGTTGCATTAGTCCACGGATGACGCTGGTTTGTTGCTAATAAATGATACGTCTACTATATAGTTTGTCAGCCTTGCCATTGCAATCAGTTATATAAAATGTACCCTGTGATTGCAATGCAATGCAAGAATATTGCCAAAACACAAAAAAAAATTCTATTCATTCAACAAATTCTATTCATTTAAACTTTTTCATGATTGATAATCCAAGTATATTTTATAATTGAATGCTAATCAGAATTGCAATTTTTTTTTGTTTAAGTCAAAACCGTCACTCTGACTTACATTGATTTAGTAGGTACGCGAATCATACTCGACTACATCTTTGTCAAATAATAAGTACCAAAATCCCCGTAGCATCTATTGAGCTCTTTCCGATAGTAGAGTGGTGGACATGGGACAACTCTGCCAGAATGGCCGAGTCCCTTTGACCTCTAAGAGCACCCCTCTACGTAGACTATGTTCCAACGCACACAAATAGTAGCTTGACCGTTTTTATTCGGGCTTAGTCTTTTATGGAATAGGAGGCAAATGAGCAGGCGTATCATCTGATGTTCAATGCTGCTCATGGACACCTGTAACACCAGAGGATACACAGACGCGTTGTCAACCTTTTAAAAAGGATCCAGAGATAACCCTTTTAAAGAGGATCCAGAGCCAACGTTTTCAACTATGACTGCTAATCCTAGGGATTATACCTAAGGTAGGTAGGAAGAACCTATTTAATTTTATTCCTAGCGAGATTTTGCCGAGAAAATTCTATGTGTAAACGTCAGTGCGGAGTAAGAACAAAATAGGGATTTAAAGGGCGTGATGTTTATATGACATTTATCGTAAGTTACTCGTAAAGCGTTCTGCTTATGTGCTCCATACTGGGTATAACCGATAAATAAAATACAAAGATGCTTTTAACAAATTCTTAAAACAACGTTAAAATACAAAACGCTACATTTTTCCACACTGACTCTACGCACATTAAAGGAACAGCTTCGGTTTAAACATGACAGGGGGCTCAATGTAATGTGGTTTGTCTTTTCCTAATAACGTCTGCATCACGAGGTTCTTCGAAGAGAAAGGATTCCTTTTATTAAATAATTTCTTCATCATCGCTCTCCTTATTTTGAGATCATTTTCAGCCAATTCTTTCTGGGCAATCGCAGTGAATTTTTTCATAGGATCAACATCTACTGATCCATTTCCCATCATAGCTTTGGATTGTAGTTTCTTCCAGTTAAAGAAAGGCTTGGTTACTGGCGCAAACTTAGCCTCAGCGACCTGTGTCTGCGTCGAGCAAGTCTTCTGGTAGTTATCATCGTCTGATGATTGTGGTATTGGTGGTGTGTGTGATAGAGGTTGTAGCGGTTGCATCTTTTTCTTGATTTTCCGGAATATTGACATCTTTCTTTCACTTTGTGTTCCAATACTTTTCACTTCTATTTCCTTCAAACAGAGCGGCACCTGCGGCTGTTGCATAGGTTTGTATGGACTATCGTAACTGCTGAGGTACGGAGGAGCTGTAGGTCGTTCCTTCGGATGTAGAGGTGGTGCGCTGGCTTGTTCTGCCGTTCCTGGATAAGGCATTCTAGGCCCATAGTAATCGTGAATTGGTGGTGGTGGCTGGTATTCTGGTAACCCTGGATTATACGGTGGATTATAATCTGGGTGATACTCATGAGGTCTTTGGTAATATGACGTCAGAGGCGGTGGGTGGTAGTACTCAGGTTCATGCATCATATAGTTTGTTATTTCTTGTTGATATGGTGCTCTCTGTGAAATTGGTTTTACTGGTACGTCTATTACACTTCCACTTTCGCTAACTTCTTCAATAACATCTTTCTTCTTCTTTTTAAACATACCAAAGGATCGTAGGACTTTAGAGAATTTATTTCTTTTATCCTGAAATCGAAGTTAAATTATTAAGTAGAGGTCAAAAGTTCTTATTAAAATTATAATTATTGAGTTTATACCTTTCCTTCAGAAGCAATAATATCCTCCATTTCGGATTCAATTGTAGATTGTGTCACTTCCAAACTGATTTTTTCTAATACAGTATCTGAATAGGTAGGGTTAGTTTGACTACTGTAGTCTTCGGAATCGTTTCTGGAACCAATTGCTTCACAACTCTTGGAATAACATCTCAGTGGCGCTGTTCCCACTTTGGCATCATGTTTAGACATTTTGGAACTTTCACCAACGCTCCTTGACGTCAACATTTTGGTTCCAACATTTCGAGCTTCGTTCCGATCAGAAACACTACTTTCTTTTGTCTTATTAGGGCTTTGTGCTACGAATTTATAAATTTCTTTAATAAGTTTCTCAGTTTCTGTGTGACAAGTTTCAGTGTTACAAGTACCGGTTGTGGTCGCGTTTTTATTACAACAATGATCAGTATGAACTGGCTCTTTTGGCGCATTAACGCAGTTTGTACATGTATAACTTTGACTGGGAATCATGAAGCCGCTCTGCATGGAAATGGGGTAGTTTACGGGGCACACAGGCATCATTGGATAACAGCACGGGTTTTGAAATGGTGTCATATACGGAGACGGATTGCAACCTACGTTGTAACTAATGCTGTGTCTACTGTTAGGCATCCTGCTGCCAGTAATCTTAGTACTATTTTCGTTTATATTATTATTTTCAACAGTTTCGTCTTTTGAGGAGATTTCGGATTTATCACATTGTGAGGCTGTAGTTTCCTTCTTTATTTCGTGTAGAAAGTTTTGTAGGATATCTTTTATTTCACACAACGCTTTATCAGTTTTATCAACAGGCATTTCTATTTCTTCCGTTTTATTAAACGTTGTTTCTATTGTAGCATTAACTTGGTCGTTCGTATACGATGGATACTGTAAACTAATTGCAGTGGCGTTATCTTGTTGGCGTTGGCATAAATCTTCATCTTCAACCTGACACGTCATATTTTTGTGCGTCTTGAGTAATTGTCTTTTATTTAATTTCGGATCAGCTACTGATGTTATATCACTTTCAACGTCCAGGCGCTCGCGGCGTCGTCTTTGCTTATGGGGTGAAGCTTTTCTGACAGCGTGTTTCATATAATCTTCAAATTCTGTGTTATACTGTGCTTTAAGATTAAGCTTTGGCCTTAATGTTCTTGGTGATGGAGGCACTTCCCTGTAATATTCATAAGGTATCATAGTATCCTCCACAAATTTTCTTCGTGTCTTTGGACTAGATTTTTCTTTGACGGGAATCAGATCGTAAAGGTCAGAATTATCATAAACCTCTATGGGTATTCTGCGACGCTTACCTCGGCTGTGTCGCTTGGAACTGTACAGACGAGTGTCACATATGCTTCTCATTTCGCTAAGGTCACTGTATTTTGTCCTGTGCTTAGTTACATCGTAACAGCATGAACATAATTCGGTACCCTCCTGTATATCTTCACGGATGGATGGAAATTCCTGATCCCGACAAACAGGTGCTGAGATCTGACTGAGATCAGATTGTTTTCTGTCAAACATTTTCACCGGCTTATATTGTCTTCGAATTATATCAGCTATAAAATCTTGATCTAGTTCTCGATTTTGGTTTTTGTTTTTACGGGCCTTGAGAGGCCGCTGCTCGTAATAATCTTTTTGTAATTCAATCTTATTCCTTTTCATATGCTCTCTGTATTTCTTATCTTTATGGGTACGCGAAGGTGCAGCCTCCGCATATTCCAGTGAATAATTTCTGTCTTTATGACGACCTGAGTAACCAGGGCTACTAGAGCGGACCATCCGTGGTTCTGTAAGTGAACGAAAACTACAGGTAGAATTAGCTGAAGCAATATTATCGTAAACTGATCTCGCTTTGTGTTTATGTAATTTGGCGCTGTGATCATTACTTCTATTCAGTTTACTCTTTTTATTTTTTACTTTTGTGATATGTCGTCCGTACTCATCAAGCAAATCCTGGGTTTGTTTTGCGTCGATTGCATCTTGAATGTTGCAGACGTTTTCGCTCTCTTCAGATTTTATGTAATTACCATCAGAAGATTTGTATAAAAATTTTGTTTCGGTGCCATTCAACTTTTTCTCGTAAGATGTTTCAGTCTGTTCCTCGATTGTATCTATCTCATTCTTTGCGTCTGCTAAAATGTAGCTGTTTGAATTTCTCACGAACTTCTCCTCAGAGGGGTTGCAACTATCCAACTCTCTCAAGTGTTTCCCCTCTGATGGGTTGGAGCTCTCCGACTCCCTAATGTTCCTCGCTTCCGACCTAAGGCAGCTTTCGGACTCTCTCCTAGAGCAATCAAAGCACGTGATATCTTTACAATGTCGGTTTACCTCGTCCAGCTGTTGTTCGAGACCAACTATCTTACGTTTAAGATCAGTAACATTTAAAGCTATACTGGAACTTATTTTAATATCCGGTTGCGATGAGCTACCTGCAAGGCGACAAGTGTTTAGATGCTTAGTATGTTTTACTATTGTCGTTTTTTAACATAATTGAATGAGGACTTTTATAGTCACCTAGCGCTCTGCGGAAGAATTCCCTTATGGCCCGATATCTGCGCTTGGTGCGTGGCGAGATGCGACGTCGTGGGGTACGTAAGGTCATCACCAACCCTCGTACCGATGACGTCTGTTAATCAATAAAGACGGGGATGACATTATTAGCTCTTCATAAGATATCTATGGCAAATGGATTTTCTTAATATATGGATTAAATGTGTTTTGTGTATATTTGTAATATCCAGTAATCTAAAAATAACTATTATTGTGCTTAATCTTAGTTATTACCTGTTCTCCTATATGACAATTTACGATTGTCGTAAAAGTGGTTCATTATACAAAAATTCCATATTTGCCCAAAAAGGTATTCCAAACTCACAATAATTACGCTTATTATTAAATTTTATTAAATTATCATTAAATATACGTTTGACTTTTGAATTTCATCTGACTTTTGCGTCAATCTATCTTTATTTATAGACAATACATTTATGGCCAGTGCTTTACAAAAAGTGATAGTGTGATATTAAACGTTTTGTTTCATTAGACACAGCGTTACTCAGGATGTTGATGCTGGCTGGATGACTTCCAGGTCATATCCATAAGATGATAGCTGATTGATAAAATATATAAAATGAGCATATCAAATTACAATATTCATCATCATCATCAGCCTATAGGTAAGGATAAGTGATTAATGCCCCGTCCACGCAATACTGAAGATGGATTGGCGATTTCAAACCTATAATTGGAAATTATAAGTCGAGGTTTCGAACACACATCTTCTTGCATACGGAGCTTTAACCTCCGGGCCACGACGACAACAAATTGCAATAATAAGAAATACAATCAAATAAATCCGGTAACGATATTGCCTACGATAGGTTGGTGTCGGATCTCTTTGCATATATTTTTAAGAGATATAACTATTTTTTGATTATAGAATTTTTCTTTGACATTGACAAGTTACGTCACCAACTTTTTGTATACATCAGGAAAATAGAAATCTAATTGAAGTTAATGCTTCAATTTGCATTAAAATGCTTTCAAAATTCATACGATTTACATATAAATCTAATGTTGGACTGCTTCTGACAAGGAAGGTCGTTCCAAAAATACAAAATGTGCGATACGCGGACATGATACCAGCTACTCAGTACGACGTCCCGTTCCCAAGAAGATTAAAATTTGGGTGTGTTATAAGACAGAACTGGGAAATTATTCCTCTGTTCGTAACAACAGGCGCAGCCTTAGCTTTCATGTTCTTTTGCATTGTATATGCATTTCAAAATAAGGTACGTTATGTACAGATTTCAAATGTAGACTTTTAGACAAGTGTAAAATGATGTCAATGAAACCCAACAGAACGTTATTACAGAGTGCAACACTGGGGCAAACAAGTATAAATCAATCATGATTGTGTTAAATAATTAATGTTAAATTTGTTTTAGGTGGACACTGTGTATACGTCACGCAGTCGAGAGAACATTTCTCGCACGATGGACCTGAGGAACCCTACAGTTCACAAGCTAATCATCATTAATCAAAAATACCCGCCATGGCCCGAGATGCAGTCAGTGCTTGATAAGATGAGGATGGCAGAGAAACGAGCTTTAATGCGTTTACAGACATGCGCTCATCCATAGAACTGGCTCAAATATGCATAGCTCTAGTAACTAAGGCCATCTAAGCTCACCCCGACAAGCTGCGACCACTAGCGACTAGCAGACAGGCACGCGCCGCCTGGCCTTGTACTGAGACAGTCTGACAACTATTTGCTGATAGGACTCAATAAGAGAAAATTGGAGAGTTGGTTGCCTGCAACAATGCACGCTTACAACTATACAGCCTGATACTGAAAGGATAAATAAAATAAATTTAAAAATCTGGTGAAAGCACAGTTCGTGTCGTCGTTAAATACATTGTAAAAACGTTTTTTGAAACTTTTTTATTTTTATAAAATTATATTTTTATAAGGCTCTTGGTTTTCATTTAAAATTACCAATAGTAAAACTAGTTATTCTTTGTAATAATACAAGTTAGTGCTTTATCGAAACAATTCCGATTCCCAGATCCCGCTTAAATATTACTTAAGTGGCTACTCTCGCGCGGTTTCACCCGCTACTCGGCTCCATTTAGCCTTAGCGTGATGTTTTAAAGCCTATAGCACTCAGGAAGATTGTAGCTATCAGTGAATTTTAGACATCCGACCAGCGCGGCAGCGGTTTCAAAGATTACCCCCTACATACAAACTTACAAACTTTACCTCTATAATATCTTCTATTAGTATAGATGTGGCAGAGCGGTAATTCGACACGAATGGGTAGCCTCCATCTGAGTAAAACCTAAAAAAAAGTTAATTGGCGCGACACAACGCTTCGCGGTGTGAGTCGCGCCAATCCCGAAATTTTTAAAGCTCTAACCGCGAAAAGCAACGCAAGTGCGGGGGCGGCGCTAATTGCTTACCGTCACATGATCCGTCCGCTCGATTATACCATAAAAAAGTATAATATATAGTTGAGGAATGCTATTTAATAATTTATTATATTACATTTAACGATTGTTTTATTTTGTTGCATCACTAAATTTGTGAGACTGCATCTTCTTATATTGAGTGAACATTTAACACGATATTGTCAAAGTTGGATATAATCAAAGACCACTTTACCTTAGAAAGTCGCCATTTTTTAAATATCTATTTACAATAATTTCGATTATATTTAAGTGTTTAGTATGCATTACTTACATTTTCAGGAAAATAAAACAGCAAATTTTCGTTTCCAATATTTTTATTTTTAAATTAGTGGCAGTGAAGTTTTTGGGTAATTATTGAGTGTTTAACAGAAGCCAGTATCTGTCTCACGTTCGTCGAGTGAATACAAAAATAAATGTTCTCGGGTTACACAATATACGGGTACGAGTGATCGATGCCATTACGTGGTTCGATTTTGGAGAGAGGAACTTTATTTTGAAGTGTGTTTTGCTTTAGTGTATAACAATGTGTGTGATAAGTATTACAGTTATTATAAGTCTTTTGCCGGTGCTGTCTGCCCAAAACCCTTGCTATCGTTTACAGAATAATATATTTTTAAGAAATCTATTTCACTTATTGTGTATGCCACACACTTCAAAATAAAATACCCACAGTGTTTGTAAAGGTTTTTACGTGCCATATCTAACTTAACTAATATTACATTAACTCATAAGTTGGCACATTGTTACAACAATTCTTATAACTTCGGGACCAGACCTTAGAAGCCTGTCACCGAAGCTTGCTACTTCATGAATTCGACATTTTATATAAAACTCTACAGCGCACTTCCGACGTCACACTGTCTAATTCAACGTCACAATTTTTAAGGTACATTAACATTAGTTCTAGTCTTAAGTCACGTCAACGCTGCTCGACGTTGGATTCGACAAGCTGACGTCACAGTCACAGAGTTGGACAATGGGTTTAAAAAATAAGACCGATTTGGCACGTAAGTATAGAACGAGTCCCCTAAGTGCTATGTAGTGTATGAACAACTAACATTGAATAGTTTACGTATTTGTGTTTGCACGATACACTGCTCACTGAGTTAAGCTGCTTACTGAGTTGTAACAGTTGCTCGTAGAACCCAGAAAACGGACCGAAGCGTTCACTATACATCAATTCCACATTTGGATTTCACAGGTTCAATATGCGAGGGATAATATTTAAAGATTTCACGTTAAATAGCACAATTTTGTAACACCATTACCTATGGCGTCCACTACAATGATCCTAAAAGATCAATTTTATAATTTGTAATGTCCGTGTTTATTGGATTACAAGGAAATGCTACAAATCAATATCCATCTTAAGATGTGACTTAAAAAAAATGACGTAACTATTTATTTGCCTATAAAAAACGAGGTTCGAAAACGAAAGTGTTTTTCGAAAATTCTGTTATCGTTTATATATCATTAGTTATCTAATCATTATTAAGGTATGTATATTTCGAAAGAAATACAACTTGGGAAGGTTTCTGAGGCCGAGAGGGCGTTCGTTTGCTTAACAGTAAACGTTAGCTTCCACAGCACAATTTAGCAACATTCACACTTCCTTGCGTTGAAGGACATTTTTCAATTAATTTATTTGTTCTACAATATGTAATAGTTATTTGCTAAGGTCGCCCTGCTCGGTCCCCAGCTACAATGTTGTTACATGCAGTCCAACAGTTAGAGATGATATACTTAATATTATTTCAGTCATGGAACTATTACCCACACCACGAGGCAACTGGTGCTCTACTGGCATGGAACTATAATTCAATTACTATCGAGTATTTGTCGGCCGTACGCTCGGCTGCCCTCACACACACTCCATCAACCCGGCAGCACTATTGTAGATGTGACCACGATGTATAATGATACGAGTGAACAAAATACCATTGATATTGCAAATGTGTAATGTTACATTAACATGTTAGCAACACAAACTGATAGTAATTAAATTATTATGATTTATATGCCACTGTTGAATGGACAATGCAACAATACCATTGTACACAACAACCGAAGACTTAAACAATGCAACTGTTGCTCAAATGTGTCTCTTGTGAACCTTGCCTTGCATACTGACACCGTAATGTCTACCTGCCAGTGTCGGCACAGCTTGCATTGCTTACTCTCCGCCTCCCCAATTACAACCGCGGGTCATACGCGTCACAAACCAATTTTTACAATTTATCATTACTCCTATACACATAAAAATATTAAAACGGAACGTTTTAACTAGATATAATATCATGTGCGTAACGGATCGTAACTCCATAGACTCACCATTAGCTGTACAAACAAATGTAGAAGTGAACGTAAATTACCACGCACACATGCGCATGTCATTGTATTGCAAGTGATCCAAACAGAGCACACGCTGGGTGACGTCACTGTGACCACTTGCCTCATCAACTCGGCAGAGGTTCGTAAGCTTCTTATACTTCTTCAATGATTTAAAATAAATGCCATATGAACAAATGACAACCCAGCGCGTCCTCTGTCTCAAAACAATTCATTAATCACCAGTCATCTTCAGACAGACACAACGTAATATAAATCGCAGTCATATAACATTGCAGACTAACTCTCAGTATTACCATATAAAACTTCAAGAGATGCGAGCGCCCTCGGCGTCACAGTGCCGGGTGTGCGTGACGTCACAATGTATGACATCAGACGCGCGCGCTCGCAGCGTGCACTGTGACGCGGGGCACGCGCCCGGCGGTGCAGGACGCCACTCGTGTTGCGCAGCACGCACAGAGCCTAGTGCGCCAGAAACAGACACGAGGACATCTGACTCATTTCCACTCCAAACCCGGCCACTTATTTTATGAAAAGTTTTTAACGAAACTTACAGCTTCCCCTAAACTTTAATAGCGATAGTAAATTGAAAATTAAGTAACTTTAGGACAAGTCACAATATCAAACTTTAAAATCAAATACTATCCAATAATGTATCAAAACATCAAATTTTATATTTTCGGTTCACGAAAATAGGTCATAATATATATTATCGAATATATAAATATATTGATCGTTGACAAATAGTTAATTTAGGAATGAATCTCAAACGGGATCTTTAAAGACCGTTCAGAAATACGATGAGAAATAATATACAAGTAGTATGTCGGACAGTGGGCCCACGAGCGATTTGGGACACGTGATAGTTCTATTAGCTAAATCGACGTTGGCATTTGTGTAAATGCAGTTAGTAATCACAGTTTGTTCATTTATATCCCGCAAGACTGAGATTCGTTTCCTAGACGTTCCAAAAAGCTCGCGCATCCGCGATCCCGCCAACATGTAACATAGGTCACGCGAAACAAACACGACACGCCACCGACGTCCGAACTAAACGGTACCTCATCACAAACAAGTGTATCCATGTACTCCTTCAATAATATCCAATAATAATCGTTAATATTACACCTTAAATAACTATACAATATGAAAGCCTCCCGGCTGTAAAACTTATGAAACCACATTGTTTATATTATACATTAATGCGTGACCATCACGACTCCGTACTATACAAAAATTAAAAACATTATACAGTAATACTACGATACCATATAGCTAATAAATACAAGAATCAACTTACCGACTACCAATACCCAAGTAGCAAGATGACTGACGCATGACGGTAGGTATATTCGTATTTTAGATACAACCATTTTATTTTTAACATTCAATTTTATTAATTATAATAATTTTATATAAATCTATTCATGTAATGAATTCTCTCTGAAACATCGTCATTCTTTTTGGTACTATCGCTCTGAGGCGAGCCGCCACGCACGCGCCTGAAGACGCACCGCGGCCGGCGTGTCGGCTCCTGCAGCCTCGTAGTCCCAGTGTGTCAGCAAGCGATAGTGTCGGTACGATACATACGTTTACAGAATACATGAGCAAGTTAGTTCCCTCCGTGCGTGAGTGACGTGCAGCGGTCTCGACCCGCTCCTTCATGCGCTACAACTCTATCATTTATTGTTATTGAGTCTCACACTCTGGTGTTTGTTTATATTTAGACTTCGTCGACTACGGGATGCATCGATGATGATGATCATTTATACAGAAACTTATTCCCCAAGATTAGGCCAACTTTGAATGAACTATGTATGTG